CATCATCATCATCCAAACTACCTGCCTGTATTCGACTATGGCGAGAAATACCCGCCTCTTGAACCGTTCACTCACGTCGAGCACAGAAAAGATGCCGATCCCTTCTTTAAAAACCTGCTCATTGAGGGTTCTAAGATCCAAAAATTGACTCCAACCACCGGCTCCGAGATTACAGGCGTTCAGTTAAGCAAGCCAACTGCTGCTGGAAAGGACCAGCTCGCTCTACTTGTCGCCCAACGCAAAGTTGTTGCCTTCAGAGACCAAGATCTTGCGGATCTACCAATCCGAGAGGCCCTCTATTTTGGAGGCCAGTTCGGCCGCCATCATATTTACCCAACTAGCGGAGCTCCAGAGGGCTATTCTGAGAATCATCTCGTTCACCGTAACAACAGTGCGTGGGAACTTGATGAGTATCTCGCTGAAAAGAACAGCAGTATCTCATGGCACTCTGATGTCACATATGAGCAGCAGCCACCGGGAACCACGTTCCTATATATCCTTGATAGCCCTGAAGTGGGTGGGGATACTGCTTTCGTCAACCAAGTTGAGGCCTATAACCGGCTTTCGCCTGCGCTCAAGGAGCGTCTACATGGGTTAAAAGCTGTAAACTACGGCTTTGACAAGGTTGAGCTTAGTCTGCAACGTGGTGGGGTGGATAGACGGGAGCCAGTGAAGAACGAGCATCCTCTCGTTGGAACTCATCCAGTGGCTGGCGAGAAAGCACTTTTTGTCAACGGTGGATGTAAGGGTCCTCCCATGTCCTTTGGAAAGAGATTTAAGGCTAACACTAAGACTAGTCACTCGCAGTATCGTCGGACTCAAAAAGGAGGAGAGCGATGCGCTTCTGGGTTTCCCACTGGCTCACGTGGGTCGCGGCATTAACTATCAAGCTCGTATTCGTTGGGCTCCAAAGACTGTCGATGTTTGGGATGTGAGTATAATCTTGAAAAACTGATCAGTAGTCCAAAGAACTAAATTGTGGGCAAAATAGAACCGTGTCACGGCTTATTCTGCGATTGTTGACTGGACGACTGGTGATCGTCGCCACTTGGCGCGCATTACCCCACAGGCTGAGCGCCCGTACGAGACACCATTCATTCCAGAGGATGGTGATACTCCGGCCTGAGCTTCTTTGAATAGGTACTCAAATCCTTCGAGAGAACATATGAGTTATGCTGTTTAACGACAACTGGCTTCATCGCCAGAAGCCCAAGATATTCGAAATTGCGGATATAGTGCGAATCATCTACAATAAAGAAAGTCTGAGTTAAATCGGGATTGTAGTATATCCGAAGAAGAACCGTATCAAAACCTCTTGCTGACGCCATATCTTGATATCTATTAAATGCACGGTTCCAAGATTGCAGCCAAAACCCCGATTTGAGCCACAACAGTGCACTTTCTGACTCACTTCCTGAGCCTGCTTGTGAAGTTCTTGTCATCTCAATTATTCCTTGCGATCGTGAGGTTTGAACCGACCTTTGTTGAGAACTGTCACGTAGATAAATTCGATTCTTTTAGGTAGTCACCAGGCTTTAATCGATTCACTATGAGCCACTCTGTTAATTCCATGGAAGTACGAGCTATTTCTAATAATAAAAAGTTTCTCAGATTCTCCCGTAGCTCTAAACCTTTAACGAGCGAAACGGAAGTCAACTCTAGACAAAATCATCAGTATGTAGGCACTGGTAGTGGTTACAACCTACAGCGCTAACGCACCTCTTGTTTGTCAAAACCGGGTTTCCATGCAAGTAAAGCCCTCTTTGCTCGCTTGTCATAGCATCCCACTCTGTGGAGTTTTTCCTGTAAATTGGTTAGCATGTTCCATATACATGCGAGATTTGAATTTCTACCTGTTCCACCAGTCTTAGTAGAACTTGGCGAGAAAAAAAAGGAACCCACTGACGACAGCCAGTGCAATAAGAACTTTGTTCCCCTTCCAGTAGTAAGGTGCATCTTTGGTTTGGTATATTTGCTCAACATTGTTAGCATCCCAAATGGTGACAAAGTTTCCAGGCTGTTGCAAGTGGAAACACAAGCACTGGAACTGAAATTAGCACCGGCAATGCCGCTGAGTTGTACAGACATATTATACAAGGCAGAGGCAACAGTACGAGTCCGCACAGATCCGGAATTCCTTGAAGTTAATGCCACTACAACAGGATGAATACTCGGCCCACCAACAAGAAGCGTAAGTATGGCCCAACGGGGCCAGGGCATGCTTTGCTCAGGAAGCAACTCTAGTGAAATCAGCAGGACGAGATTCCATGCTTTCACTCCCACGCCCCAGAGCAGGCGCTGATCTGTACGCTCTGCAACCCAGGTGATAGCTATCGAGGTGCTGACCGCGATGACGGCAGATGGAATCGTCAGCAAATTGGTCTGAAACGTTGTGAACCCCTGGGATCGCAATTGTAGGGTGAGGTAACTTGCCACTGGAGTGGTGGGTATCATCTAGATTAGACCGATAGCATAAATGGGCCACATGTGGTAGTCCTTGATTGACTCCCAAAAGCGTCGCGGGGTGACTGCTTGTCGGTTGTGCATACTCCCCTTACTGGGATCGTCCCGAATAACGCGTTTCACGATGATCTTCTCTTCATGCCCTGTAAACCAACCGTCCTTTCCGCGTAAACCTCCCTTGGTTTGCACGGGGGATGCTGGCATCCAAAAATACGCGATAATTCCAATCACGCCAGTTATGAGACCCTCGTAAGCAAATAGATATCTCCAGGCACCGCCACCGCTTGCATTGGTGATATGCAGGAAGCCAAAGGCTAGGAATGAGCCAACGATTCCAGCGATGGTGTCAGAGATCCAGAAACAGGTCAGTCTTTTCGGCAGCTCACTGGATTTGTAGAAGAAAGACAAGAAGAGAGTTGTATCAGGTATGCTGTTAAACGCGATTAGCCCCATGTTCAGATTTTTTAAAATGCAAATACTCACAAGCCGCCTTCTAGAAATCCCAGAGGAGCCCGACAGGCCAAAAAGGCCTGGCAAGCCGCGATCAGACTCCAAGCAACAATTTGAACGGGAATCCAACGGTCTGGGCCCACTCTCTTAGAGAGTAACTGGGAGGGCATCTCAGCCAGCAAGAAGCAGACTAGAAAAATCGTCTGACCCAAGTTATAATCTTTGCTGGTCATCTTAAGATCCGTCAAAAGCGTACTTGCTAGTGCCCAGCTGATGTTTCCTCGATCCAACTGCAATGCGAAAAAGCCCACACAGGCAAACGTGCAGACACGAGCGTCAATCTATCCAAATTGGTTATTTCTCTATCGAGTCGTGACAGCGCACAGGGAACTGACCGTCCTGACAACTTTCTTCTCTTCTTGTTCCGTCCATTGGAAATTAGGATCCCAACGATGGAGTCCCTCATAGCTATCTATGGGCCGGTAGAAGTGATGGCCCTCCCTAGCCTCGAATTTGCCTTCGGTTTTGTATATTTTGCTCTTTTGCCACTCTTCATCCGAGCCATGTGCACTGCTGGCAGAAATCTGCGCTCTCTTTGTTTCTCCCGAAGGCATCTTTCGTGATTGCAGGAGCAGACCAAGGTGCAGCCTTGTCAAAAACGATTGAGAGGATCATTATCATATCGTTTACTTAGGTCTTTATGTTTGTGGAGGAAGTACGTGCCGTCGCAAAGGTCGTCACGCAATTCTGCCCTGCGAAGAGTTGTCATGTTGTGCCCGTAGACGTGAATGAGACAATTGCAAGATCAGAGACCGAGTTCTGGCTTTTAAGGCTAGCGACAGCGATAGTTCCATAATCCTTTGTCAATGAGTGGGTTTTATTTGTAGGGTGTTGCTCAAGCATCTCGGGTCAGCTCCAGACGCGGGGTCCAAGCGATTTGCATGATTCGGATATTAAGATACGCCATTCGGGCTAATGTCTTGTGATTGAACTTCTCTCTTGCTATTGGCTGTTCTAAATGGCTTTAATCTCGTCGCTTGATGCTGATCTCGTTTTGAGATTCATCTTTCAGTACAGCCATTGCGTGATGCGTGAAGGCCCAAACTAACCTTTTACTTGCTGGCGGAAGTCTAGATGCTTCAAGTACGTGAGCTTTGCTTCAAAAGTCTGACCTGGTTCATCAAGGATTTCTTCAAATCGAATCCCTAGCTGGTGCTCAGGCTTCCTAATATCGGCTTTCGAGGACTGAACCCAAGTTGAGTAGAGAGGCCATTCTACAATGCGAAAAAAGTCACCCTCGCATCACAAGGAAGAAAAAGTTCTCAAAATCTGGAAACATCAATGGATGAAGTAAAAACGGCAGTAGCGATAAGACAGTTAGTTCAAGGTAAATTGATAACCATTGTGGATACATCGAGGATTCATTCACTGCAAACTTGCTGTCAAAATCAGGGGTTTGACGGATAACACACGCTTGAAGGCAGTGAAAAGAGGGTATCTGTTCTTTGCACATTTTCTGGTTGGGCCGCATTTAACAAGCCTTTGTTTGGAACCCATATGGAAAATGTGGTCTCTACTTCGAAACAGGACACCAGTCAATGTGTCCCATTTGATTGTTTCCCCACCACGATGGAAATGGATGAGATGGTCCCCCCGCTCCGTACACCGCGAAAGAGAGAATGAAGACAACCAAGAGACTGCCGGCGTCGAAGGCTCCCGCAATAATGTATGAGTAATCCTTAAAAAGGCGTGGGTGGTAATTCCGAAGGTAGGCCTGGGTGAACAAGCCACACAGTAGCCCACTGAGAATAGTGCAGGTCTGTGGCTGATTTGAGATACTACCAGCATACTGGATGAACTGTGGCAGGTTGATTTCCGAAAGCTCAAGCCGTCCGATCTTGGGAACAAACTAGAGGTAGGGTCAGCGCCAGCTGGATCAACAATCTTGAACTGCGTCAGACCGGCTCACCTGATAAAGAATCCGATGGAAAATCACCGCAGCGGCACCAACAGCTAGGGCAATAGGAATCATCTCGTACTTGGCACCGAGTTTGTACAAGTAGGGAGATAGGGCCCAAGAGGCCGCCTTCGTGTTGAAAGCTTGCATGGTCGCACCACTCCAGGAAGAATTTCCATTGCCCTCGGCAAGAAGATCTCGATTGGATGAGATAATGGAAGACAAGATGGCATAGTTGATGAATCCACCAAGCACAATGCCATACATTTGGGTCCAGAGCATAGTCCTGGGCGGTATCTTCAGGTATTCGGCAAACTTGAGATCAGTTGACACAGAGACCGAAGACATGACAACATTATGCGACCAAGCAGCGAAGTACATATTGCCAATTGGGCGCCCGGGAAGCATGAGACCAGCCAGCATTTTCGACAGGTTGTTGGTGGCAATGCCGTTGCCGAAGCGGGCGAAAAGGATGACACTCTGGAATACAATATTGGTTAGAATCATGATAAGGCTGTGTATTTGAGGATACCCACAAAAGGTGAAATAAACATTCCAAGTGCCAGCGAGACAATGTACGCCCAGACCGGAAGAGTGATATTCTCTTTGATTACCACGATAAGTCCTAGGACAAAGCTGATGATGAGGATGCCAGCAAAGCACCACCATGGCGTATCCTTGTAGTGCCTGACCATGTGGGTGTGATGTGGATCATCATGCTTGCCTTCTCTTGCGCGTTGATACACTCTCCAAATACCCTTGCCCCAGAAAAGGATGCAGTGCAGAATCAGAGCGCCAATCTAGAAATCACTCAGTATCTGCCTTTAGAATAGAGCTTCACACTTACTGCAGCATTGGCTGTAAACAAACCAAATGCAAAGGACCCTGTTAACTGAGGTATCCCATTTTTTTCGATAACAGATTTTTCAAGCAAGCCACCGGGAAACGCCTCTCTCACGGGGTATATTGTGCCATTGGCCGTAAGAAGGTTGGTCGCCATAAAAGGCAGTGATCTCGCACCCCACCCATTTCCAAAGTATATGCCAATCATCACAATGGCGCAGATTCCAGTTCCCACTAAGGTATGAAGTATCAACTTGAGAGGAATTGCGGTTGAAGACGATGTGATCTGTGTTGGGCAACCTCTTCGGTTAATACGTAGCATCACCGAAGCGTCATATTGCAACTCACATATTGCCAGTCAAAGGACAGAGAGAAGAGACCAAGGCCCTCATTAGCAGTGGCACCACCAAAGAGGTTGGTGAGTATGGCACCCTTGGTGCCAGTTGCTTTCTGCGAAGCCAGGCACTACGAGGTTGCAGTCAAGTCAGGTACGGTACAATGAGTGTTACTTGAGGGTAGAACAAACCGGAATGGAGACAGAGTTGAGCCACGGAAAGATATATGCAGGAAGGATCTCATAAAGAGACATGCCTGTGAAAGCATACCAGAAGTATTTCAGTGGCTTTGAGTTCTCAACTTGGTCCCAGTGAAGCTCCTGAAGAGTTTTCACCACGGGCAGCTGACTCCAGTAGACAGCCTCAACATCCCAGACAGCAAAGGCCCGCATGAATCCACAGAGGCCACAGCCAAAGAGGCCGATGGAGATGATTCCCAGGATGACTGTTGTGGCACTCAACTGAAGATCGTAGAACAGCTTTTGTGCCGCAAACACACTAGTCGCATCCGTGACATACCCGGCTGCCGTGGCAGTGACCACAGAGATCGAATGCTCTTTAAGGCCGAACGGTCCAGGATTGATAAACTTGATGGCTGTGATCCACCAAGGGAGCTTTCCCTGCACATCTCTTTCTCTCCATCTTGCCTCGAACTTATCGCCGCGGGGAAGCAGTTTGGCCCAGGCGTTGCCTATGAAGTAGGAAACCAGAACGAGGAAAACACCGGAAATGTTTACTTGGGTTGGTTTGAACTAGGAACGTATTGGTTAGCCATTCTGTGGAAATGCAGCGATATACGAAATGGAAATTTCCTAACAGTGTAAATCTGGGTCATGACAGCGAGGAAGGCGGCAAGACCGGAGCCCAGAATCGCAGCGCGAAATGTCAAAGTACGATCAAAGTCATCTCGCATAGGCAAAAGATGAGTAGCCACATCGGCTCCAGTGACAATTATGACATCTGCGGAGTCCCGGTCAGTTTCACCAAACCGCTCGTTGCCACTCGTTTGAGCCTTATCCTTTGTCAGCCCCGTGACAGACGTCTTCTCGTCGATCGGCTCTGTAGTTGATACCGTGATCTCAACATCCTCTGTAGGTTGATCTGGCATGATTCGGATATGAGATGGCGATCGAAACTTGATGAACTTTGACCCGTTTCTGCCGTTTTGAATGGTCCAACACAATCGAGATTACGAAGAAAGGGAAAAGAGGGAGATGGCAAACACAGTTTATAAGGAGACCGTAAATTCTGAGATGGCTCAATCGAGGCACTAGGAGCACAGAGAGCACAGAGTTCGTTGCTCTTTCCTCCGGAATCGCCCCTTCTCCCATTGCGGGCTCAGGTGATCTAAATCTTTGGCAACATCCCATGGTCAAATGGTAACACAGGTCTTTCAACTACTCCCCAGGATCAATTGCAGCGAGTACCCAGATGCAACACAATAGGCCCTATAACTGTTGATGCCATGGTACTTGCCATGTTACACTATACAGATGGCTTTCTATTTCTTGAGCAAGTAGATTTTCTCCTTCGCTAGATTGTCACCAGAGCAGGGTGACAATGGCCTTTGGGGGAAACAGATGACTCCGAGATGCTTTCGCTGATAGCCAGAGCATCAGGCTGTTAGATGCGGCTTGCTCCTGTATCAGTATGTAGAGAGGATTCTCAAGTGAACTGTGACAGTAACACAATCAATGGAGTTGCGTGATCAAGCGGTCAGCTTTTCTGTTTGCGAGTACATATCGCTCTGTCGGCATTTATTGCAATCCTTGGAAGCTGAAAAATCTTGGGATCTTAATCGAAGAGATACTTCCACGAAGCTTAGTCGGAGAGGGAGGAGGGAAGGGGAGAGAAGAAGAAGAAGGAGAAAAAAGGCAGTGAAGAATCATCGAGCGATCCGCAGTAGTAGTAGACAACAATGCAAATCGAAAATTTACAATGCAGACACGATCGATTGGCAGATAACTAGAGCTCGGGTGTATTGACGAGGCTCGCACATCTCCGAGACGATGGAGAAGAATGCCGGTGTCCCTGCATAGGCGAATACAATCTTACATATCGCAGCCATTGCACTATCAAATGAAGGAGTGCCAATAGTCTTATACTCAGAGACCCAAACTTTATCTACTGGCACGTCCGGCGGATGATCCTGAACGCCAACACCAACAGCGACGGTCAAGACTTGACTCTAGTTGGCATGATTCTACTCGGGCCTAAGAGAAGAAACCTACCGGCAGCAAGAATGCAGATCAAACCAGCCCACGCAAGCCACAAGATTCGACCCAGTGTCTGAATACTTCCAAGAGCAAAGGCGGCGATGGCAGCAACGGCCACGAAGACAGCATTGCAAGTCCCATGTGAGGAAACAGCATTTAAGCCGATTGAGATGCCTAGCATGCCTGAGCCAGCCGAGAAGATGTACCCTATACCGAGTTAGCCGTACAATCGCTCCCTGTCGAAACAATACTCACACAGAACGAACGAGCCCCCAAGAACAGTCCTTCCCGGTAGTCCAAATATGAGGTGTCCTACATCGTCAACCCCGTAGACCTCGCGGTGTCGAAGCTTAAAGACTCCGACCATGTGGTTGGACCATGTTGTGATCACGCCGATCGCAGCAAGGCAAAGAAAGCCAGGAACTATACCGAGGGTATCGACAAGACCCGAGACCGATCTGAGTCTTCATCATAAGAACGGCTGTCCCTAGCAATCCGACCTCAAAAAACGTCAATCCACTGTAGAGGATGCAAATTCGCGTGTGCTTACATGCGACAGTTTGGTCCGCCTTCTGCCATCTCTCCAAAGACTGCATCGTGGGGGTATTCATAACTCTCAGCTACTTGGCCTGTTTGGGACGAAACAAACTCCATAGGCCCATCATGCTTCTTTTCAGACATCTTGAGAAATGCAGATAACGGATGAAGAAATGGTTTGGATGTTTCGATGAGGACTAGAGGTCTGCGAGAATTTATATAGTGCCCTATCAACAACCCTTATCAACCTTTGGTGAAACGGGTGTATTCTTACCTCTTCCCCTATCTTTCCCCAGCCGCCGTCCCGCATTTTACACTTGCGGACGGTGTGATGCTACGTATACCTACTTTCTGTTCGAATCCTGCCATGATCTAGTATCAGTCTATATCTGCTTATTTTCTACAAATCGTTCATTACCATTTGTTTTCGGCCACTACGGTTCAAATTCGTAATTTTCATTGGCCCTAAAGGAACCGGACCCGTATAAAGTAGCATGCCCCCAATGATGCCGCGTTTCATTCTGACAGCTTACCCCTACCCAAGGCCGTAGCGGCCGATGTGGGGCCAAGTATTTCTACATTTCGGCAAGGCCAGCCAATCACCATCTATCAACATACAGCTGTAGCCAACACACTTGAAGGGTCCTTGAAAAATGATAGGCAAGAATGTCCTGACCCGTAAGCTCAACTTCCCATGCAACAAATTTGCTAGTAAGATGATCCTGAACATTTCGAAGGTCAGCTTTCCCATCCAACCTCTAGCTTCTGAAAATCTTGCACCCCTGAGAGCTTTTCACTCAAATCAACCGAAATTGTGTCTAGATTCATCCTTTCTTTACTATCCACCGCGCTTCCTACCCAAATCCCTTGCGTAATTCACTGCGATAGGATGTCTAAGCTCCCACAATCCAACGATGTTGTCCGAAATGAAATCGCTTTAGAAAGTCAAGTTTTGATTGTTATGACTGGTGGTACCATTGGCATGCAACACTCCTCAACGGGCTATATACCAGCCGCGGGTTTCCAAGAAGCCTGTCTATCAGGAATTCCGCTCTTCAATGATGGATCTCCATCCTCCATGCTTGATGTGGTCATTGATACCAACGGGGATATTCGGAGACTTGCCAGCCTGCGGACCCCTCCATCGGTCTACCAGCGGCAGATCAGGTATACAGTATTCGAATTTGATGAGTTGATGGACAGTTGCTCGGTTAGCGCGAAAGAATGGACGGAAATCGCTGAGATAATTTTCTGCAATTACGATTTATTTGATGGCTTTGTCATTCTGCATGGCACCGACACCTTGGCATATACCTCCTCCGCACTAAGCTTCATGTTACGGAACCTCGCTAAACCAGTTATCCTGACTGGGGCACAAGCTCCGATGAGAGAACTGCAGAGTGATGCTATCCACAATCTTCTTGGATCTTTGGTCATAGCGGGTCATTTCAAGATTGCAGAAGTCTGTCTATACTTCAATAACCGACTACTACGTGGCAACAGAGCAACAAAGATTTCTGCCAGTGATTTTGCTGCGTTCGACTCTCCTAACTATCCACCACTAGCTATCACATCCTCTTCAAGAACAAATGTTGCATGGGAGCTGGTTCGTAAGCCGATGGAGACGGAGAGATTTTCTCTACAAAAAGTGCTAGATACGAAGCACGTGGCTACTCTGCGCCTTTTTCCTGGTATCAGACCTGAGATGGTGAATGCAGTCTTGAAAATGGAGGGGCTTCGCGGTTTAGTGCTGGAGACGTTTGGTCCAGGAAGCGCACCGCTTGGTCCTGACCGAGCATTGATCAAGACACTTGCGCGCGGGGTCGATGAGGGTATCGTTATTGTCAGCGTCTCGCAGTGTATGCCCCATCTTTTCCCTATAACGATCATCACTTGCTTACAAGCTATAGGTCTAACAGGAAGCGTCAACCCTATCTACGATTCGGTCGCTAGTCTTGGCAATGCTGGCATAGTGGCTGGACTTGATATGACCACAGAAGCCGCACTGACAAAATTGGCATACCTCTTTGCATTGCCAAGCTCAACGACTCGGTCTGTGGCTAACGATATGGTTAAATCCATTCGAGGTGAATTGGTAGAAAGCTCGAAGCCGATTTTCGAGCATTCAAAAGTCAACACATCCGAAAAGTCGCAAGGCTTCAATGATTTATGCGATGCAATCTCTTCCAATGAGCTTGAACGTGTTCAAGGAATTCTCAATGTCCAGAATCGCAGTTACTTGAATGACTCAGATTACATGGGCAACACACCATTGGTTAGTTCGCACTGGCAACGAAGGTTTACAGAAGCTCATGAATATAGCATGTGGCCGCTGTTTCACCATCAACTGCAATCCTCCGCCTCCTTCTGTTTAATGGGGCCCTCCCAAACGCGCATAATAGAACAGGCAACACTCCACTCTTTCTTGCAGCTAGAGCAGGCCGGGAGCAGCACTTGTCGGTCTTGATGCAATCAGGAGCCCGTTTAAATACCGAAGAGCTAAGAGTAGCGGAGCTTCTGCTTCCAAGTCAACCTCATGTTTGGAAAATGGCTGAAACTATTTCTGAAAAATGATTTCTTGAGAATTTCACCCAAACCATCATTTGTCATTGTGCAACACATTGCATCGATTCTCGCACTGTCGCATTTTTACCACAAGTCAAAACCTCAATATCTAGAACAAAGGCATATTTAGGAACCAGGTATTGGGTTAAAGATCCCACTTGATAGTCCGATTACTTGTCGGTCGAAGGTATAGAATTTGACTTCATTGATCCCGATGTTTCCGAACGGAGATAGAATTAATAGAATATTTCAAATGGGTTGATTCTGATAAGCAAAGCGTAATAATCTACGTTATCTTTCAACATTCTAATGCTACCGCAAAAACCGCAGATGGATGGATGATGTTAGAAGATGACACCGCTGCACATCGAAAACCAGATTTGATTCGGGATTGTCTAAGTGGGCCTTGTACATTCGGCCGCTACGGTAAGGCCGAGAGATTTAATTGGCTCAAGTTGCGGTAGGTTGTCGGAGGAAAAGAATAGGGAAGACTGGATCTATGAAGCAGCCAATGACGCTGCCCATCAAGTCCGTAGTCGCCGAGGTTGACCTCTACAATCTTTTCTAGTGCGGCATGGGGAACAGTTGACTTCATCCATCTATAGATCAGATCATGCGGCCATCGTAATCTTGCTAAATTAGACCCCCCGCATCAAATGCCGAATCCAATTTCCGATTCTAAGACTGCCCGGTCTTCCGTGTGTATAAAATGTGCATTGCCCCCTTGTTTCACAACAGTTTATACCAATCCATGATTTTGTGTGGCTCAGCCTATTACATCGCTTTTGTTTGGCGATCCATTATCCATTCAAGAGTTACTTGTTTTTGTAAGAGCTCACGACCCCCAAGAAATCTACTTGAATACTTTCATCTGACCCTCAGCCCCCAAAATTCTGCTCGCATGGTCAGCAGAGCATCTTGTGACACCTATTGAAACAAGCTATACTATGGGGTTTTGGTAGAGGCACGATAATGCAGGTCAAATGTGACAAACAGACCATGTCCATGGCGAACACAAGAGTCGAGAAAGACAGTCTCGGTCAACTGGAACTACCAGCGGAGGTACTTTACGGCATCAACACCTCTCGGTCGCTTGATAATTTCCCCCTCTCCGGTCGGTCTATCACAACATGGCCGGACTTCGTCTATGCTTTCGCAATTGTAAAGCAGGCCGCAGCCCGTGCAAACTGCGAGATAGGTAGCTTAACAACAGAGCAGGGGGACGCTATCTTGCAGCTTGTGAAGAAATCAAACTCGGCAAACATGACGCACATCTTGTGGTTGACATGCTGGAGGGTTCAGGTGGCACGTCGACCAATATGAATGTGAATGAGGTGATTGCGAATATTGCTGCAAAAGCTTCGGGTCGGGCGCTCTCCGATTACAGTTTCATCCATCCGAACGATCACGTCAACTTGGGACAGTCAACTAACGATGTGGTTCCGACGGCCATGAAGTTGGCTGTCTATTGCGCAATGGTGAAGGCTCTGCATGCTCTTCGCTAGCTAGCGGATGCGTTTGCGAGAAAGAGCAAGGAATACAAGTCACTTCTCCGTCTTGGGAGAACCTGCCTACAAGATGCGCAGCCTATGACCCTCGGTCAAGCATTTGGAGGCTACGAGGCGGTTATCCGGCGACACGCAGACCAGCTCGAGACAATTCGCGAGCAATTCTTGACAGTTCCATTGGGAGGAACAGCCATTGGGACCGGCTTTGGGTCCAAGTCAGGGTACAAAGCGGCCGTATTCCGACATCTGTCCTCACTGTTCGACGCAAGGGTACAACCCGCTGGTCATGCATTTGATGGTATGCAAAATATGGACAACTGTGCCCGTCTTTCCGGGGAATTGCGGAATACTGCGAACACTCTGTGGAAGATTGCCAACGACCTTGTCGTGTTATCTTCCGGTCCCACTGGTGGAATTAACGAGATCACTTTGCCTTCCGTCCAAGCCGGATCCTCGATCATGCCTGGAAAGGTTAATCCAGTCATCCCCATAGCGGTATGTCAGGTCGCCTTTGCTATCACCGGCAACGATACCGCAATTGCAATGGGGTGCCAGCAAGGCCTGCTCGAAATCAATCACTTTGAGCTGCTTGTATGCGATCGCCTCCTTGACAGCATTCGTCTACTCACCGGCGCTACTGGAATCTTCACCCGCCGGTGCATCGACAACATCGTTGCCAATGAAGAAGTCTCTCGGAAGCATTTGCTCGCATCCAGCGCGTTGGCTACAGCACTCGTGCCAACTCTTGGTTATGCACGAGTTTCGACCATCGTCCGTGCTGCCCTCACAGAAAAATGGCCTTTTCTAAATGTTGTAATCGAGAAAGGGTTGCTCACAGAAGATGAGATCACGTCAGCCATTGAGTGCTCAATCCAGGACAACTATGTTTAAAGATATATAGTTTCTCCACTGAATCAAAACCAATCTTCTCGGTCTCCATTATCTTGTGTTGGTAGGGTTCAGCTCCAATATTTACCCTAAAACCATACCAAATGCATTTTTCCCACACGTTCGATAACGTTTAGACTGCTTGCTTATCATCGCTACGACTGCTTTCGCTCGTTTGATAGGACCGACAGACAAAACGCCCCGTGGAGTAAGTGGGATCCAATGGATCATTGGCTTCATATCAAGGTCGCACGGAATTAGTCAGCCACCCGCCTCCGGGCCAATCCATGGAAGTCAACACATGACTTTTATTCCAAGCGCATCTATCGACGTTAACCTAGGACTTCGCGGTCCTCCCTGAAAATATCTTATCTAGCTTAGCTTAGATCCAAATTAAGAGGTCGCCCCCTCAGCTAACGTCACCGCGTGAGTCAGAGGTGAGTTGTTTTTTTCAAAAGCCCTCTTTGCTCAATTTCCAGGATATGCCTCGCTTCAAAGGAAGATGAAAGAGATTGTAGAACACTTGAAATGGTATGAAAAAATACTCTGAATTTCTTCTAAATAATGACAAGGTCCGCGCCTTTTAAGCAATCTGTGCGGACAATGCTGACTAAACATCACATATAGTTTATCTGTCTCGGCATGACGCCATTGAGGCATTTGTTCATGTCTCAGGGTGGCACCACACATCTCGACAGAAGATCTCCCAGCGCCTGCTTTTACTGCCGCAGCCAGAAAGTAAAATGTAGTGGTGGTAAGCATGGTTTTTGAAGAAGTTTGTAAATATCCATCTGACAAATTGAGGAACAGGGCAACCATGTGCAAAGTGCGTTTCAAGCCGGAGAACGTGCGTGTTTCCATCCCGGGAACGCGTCGTGACCATCCCTGAGAGCTATGTGCGAAGGCTAGAGAGCGAAATCGCACAACTACGGCAGCCCAGTCACGATAGCCAAAGAGTCGTGACTCACACCAGCGACCAACTCACGACCCCATGGAGAAATGGGTCCCCTGAGCAGGGACTACTTCCAGAGAGACTGTTTGAAAATTCAACAACTGAGCATTTTGTACGCAAGCTCAAAAATGTGTACTCTACCCCTACCCAAGACAAATCTGGTGTCTCCTCTCTTCCAATGACATCGACTCCTGACGTAGCCGAGTTTCCTGCCAACAACGTCCAGTCCGTGACATCTGATTACACCTAGGTAG